GAGCATGAAATTTACCTTTGTGAAAAGTGAGAAATCAATAGAGATGACAAGGGAAGTTATAATTTTAATAGCACTCTGGGGAATGAGAGATGAGTTTGTGACCACTGGCATCACAGATTTGCGTGACAACCTGATATTCTGTTTCTTGCCCACAGATCCACCATACAGCCACATTCCCTACACAAATGTCCTTAGGAAAAAATTGTAGAAATATACATCTAAGAGCGTGCCTGTGGTATAGAATTTAGACCACACTTTAGGATCAGTCTGACTTGGGTTTGAATCCTGACTTTGCCACTTTTTACTGAATGTGATAAACAGAGATTACCATTTTCAAAAGCTTGTGTGGTAGAAGCCAAGCAAAACTTCAAGTTGAGGAAGAGTTGTGGTAGGAAGGTTAATAAAAGAGAGCTTGAGCATGTTTATAACCTGAGGGCCAGGAGAATTTGAAGACGGTGCAGAGAGAGTATTTACTTAATGTTTCTTGTGTGACAAGCAGGCACAACACAGATCTCTTCAAGGTTGATATTGGGATTAAACTGAGTATTTTATATGTATCATATATAGGTATAGATATTCTTTTAGTATAATTTGTGCTACTATTACAGAATGGTACACACAAAATAGCAGCAGCAGTTTATTTCTGACAGTTCTGGAGGTTTGGAAATTCAAGATCAAAGTGGTGGCATCTGGTGTCTGTTAAGAGCTGGGTATCTACTCCCAAGATGGTGCCTTGAATGCTGTATCCTCCAGAGTGGGAGAATACTGTTCCTACATGGCAGAGGAGCAGAAGAGAAGAAACCCACTTCTGCAAAGCCCTTCTTATAGTAGCATTCATCCATTCATGAGGGCTCTCCTCATAACATAAACACTTCCCATTAGACTCCACCTCCCAACACTGTTGCTTTGGAGATTAACTTTCAACATGAGTTTTGTAGGGGACAAAACCTTTGAAACCATAATATATATATATGTATATGTATGTATAGACACACATAAATATTTTTCAAACCACAACATGCACATATACATATATGTATATATGTATATGTATATGTATGTGCTGTGATTTGAATGTTTTTGTGTGTGTGTGTGTCTATATGTATGTGTGAGTATACATATATGCATACATATATAACATACCTGTATTTGTATATATTAATATGTACATATAAAAATATGTAATAGGCGTACGATATATATTATATATAATGTTTATATATAAAAAATGCATTACAGAGTAGGTACTGATTACCATGATATCTCATATCTGTATTCAGCAAATTATATCTGGAAGCAAAACTGGAACTATTTGTGGTCCTTCGCTGCCACAATTGCAATACTTATTATATCCTTGTAAATATTAAAAGAGAATATACGTAAAGTGTTTAAGACAATGGCTGGGACAAAATAGGTGTTAAATAAATTACAAACATAAATTTTATTAATTGAGCATATGACCCATTTTAAGCATGCGTGATGATTTCCTCAAAATTATTACTCAATGAATATTGTTGCTATTTACAAAAGAACCAAAGAGAATCTTATTTTAGGTTTTGTCTCAGTTATAATAACTAGGTTATATTGCAATGGAAACATACCCAAAATTTCTTCAAAATAATATAAAACAGCAAAGTTTATTATTTACTCGTAGCATATGTCTTTTGCATGTCAATCATGGGGGTGTGGTGGGAAGTTCTGCTTTCTGTCATCCTCTGGGACTCAAACTGATATAGAGATGCTTCACAGTTGAGAAAGCTATGAGTCCCAGTAAAGGAGTAGTGATATGAAGATTTAAGCATTGTCAAATGCTTTCACCTGTAAAAGATAGTTGTCTTTACTCACAGTCCATGAGCAAAAGAAACTCACATGGCCATGTTCAACCACAAGATCTCTGGGAAATGTAATCCTCTCATGTCCTTAGAGTAGTGGAAAACCAAACGTTGGTGCATAGTGATATCTACTACAGTAGGATAATGCACTTACTGAGCTAAACAAATGAACAAATGACAAATTTAGCATTTCCTTTATATGGAATAGCTTTCTTGTTATTTTACATAATGGAATCAATTTTACCTTTATTAATGCTTAAAATGAAATGCTTAACTACTCAAACTGGAGTAGTTAAATTTTGCAATAGTCTCTCAATTCTGTTTTAATTCATTTTCCCTTAAATTCCATGAGACTATTTTTCATATATTTTATACATTAGATCCTTACTATTCATAGATTCCACATTTTCAAATTCCCCTATTTACTAAAATTTAGTTATCTTCCCCAGATCAATTCTCATAGAGCTGATTTGAAGTCTCGTGCAGAGCAGTGAAAAATTTGAGTTGTTCAATGTGCACATTCCCAGATGAGGCGGAACATTGAAACACTGCCTTTGTGTTTCAGCTGTTGTACCGTAGAAATGTGCTCTTTTTGTGGGTTATTCAGGCACATTTTTTTTCCATTTTGTACATTTTCTTTATGATTTTGCCTGTGGTTTAATTTACAGATATACAATTAAAAAAAAAAACAAATAACATGCAAATTCCTACTAATTGAATACTTTTTTCCTGGTGACTTGTACTCTAAAATTAGATGTAAGTTTTAAACAAAAGACTTAAACACAAAGAATTAAATATGGTGAAGTTTGTTAATAATAGGACACAGTTTAACATTCTGACAAAACATAAAATAGCATCACAAATGAGATACAAATGGAATAATATTATATATGTATTTGCCTGAATCCTACAAGTCAAAATAGATATCTTTACATAATGAATCCTGATATGGATTTATATAAATTTTACAAACTGAGTGGTATGAAAGAATCATCATGTACAATGCTAAAACCAAAATTTCTGTGTTCAAAACTTTATTTTCTTGAAGTTAGATACCATTAAGAAAAAGATGTGTGGGCTTTCTGGTGGTTAAATTTAGGTTTCAGTGTGTGATTCTTCTCTAATTCAAATAAACAAATGAAAAGTGAGCTGCTGGCATCAGGAATAAAGAGAATTTTTCTTCCCTTTTCCCTCAAAGTATTATAAATAAGGGAAGGAACTGGCTTTTAGGGAATAGGCCTTGCTACACTGTCAGTGCATTACTTTGGGGTCCATATGTGTTTTTTTTTTTTTTTTTTTTTTTTTCTTACATGAGAGATCCTAATTCCTTCCATTTATCCTTTTGCATTAACTAAAACTGGAGATGTTATGGAAATAACAATTTATATGGTAAAGGCTGGCATGTTAGGAATGACCATCTCTGAATTCTTTCATAACGTGGCAGACAAGTTAATCCAGGAGATTACAAACTGAGCTGGATGCAAATCTTGTGAATGCTCCCCCCACTCATAATTACATCAGTAAAGGTGTTAGGCAGTGCAGCCAGTTCTTGTTAATCAACATTCTTCTATAATCCTCACTTTAGCTTCACTTCATACTAGTAAAAGAGCATTTCCATACCTATCATAGTTAATGGGGCATTCTCATCCTTTCTTTCTAGTTTGTGCCTCTAATCAGGAGAATATTGGTGATATGACATGCTACAGTTATTTGTGAGAAGAAGCCATGGATCCTCTCATTCTCTGCCCCTTCCACCTGTATTTATTGATCTATTTATTTATCCATTCATCTATATTCTTGTTATCTTATAGACAGGAGCCTTAAAGAAATAACTTGATCATTATTTCAGATTAAAAAATGAGCAACAATCCCCCCGGTCATGAAGTTATAGTACAAGTGTCTTCTCTATTAAATTGCTCTCAGGTAATAATTTAGAGAGAAATTGGCACAAACCTTACAAATGGTTTTCTATTTTTAACTATATCTCCCTTATGGTACCTGGGTGGACTTTGTGCTTATTAGTCTTTGGCTCCTACCAACATGTGATAAACCTCTGAACAAGATGCTAGGGGAAAATCTAGCCTTTATGTCTGCAGCCTAATGAGAATTAGATCCAAGAGATGAGTACATTCGAGAAGTCAAAATGCTTCTGTGTCAGAATTTAATGGCAAGAGAAAAAAGGTGGGACACTGGTTATTTTTTGGGACATCAGCTACTGATTTGTGAACTTGATGAAAGTTATTTTAGCCGGGCGCGGTGGCTCAAGCCTGTAATCCTAGCACTTTGGGAGGCCGAGGCGGGTGGATCACAAGGTCGAGAGATCGAGACCAACCTGGTCAACATGGTGAAACCCCGTCTCTACTAAAAAAATACAAAAAATTAGCTGGGCATGGTGGCGCGTGCCTATAATCCCAGCTACTCAGGAGGCTGAGGCAGGAGAATTGCCTGAACCCAGGAGGCGGAGGTTGCGGTGAGCCGAGATTGCGCCATTGCACTCCAGCCTGGGTAACAAGAGCGAAACTCCGTCTCAAAAAAAAAAAAAAAAAAAAGAAAGAAAGTTATTTTAAACGTTGATTGTTAGGTTATAATGTCCCCCCTACCCCCATTTTCATTAGAAATGTCATTTACAGATTGTTACTTAACACACAGTAAAAAGTGTGGAGTTTTTGAATAGTTAAAAAAGAGGATTGTGCCACAGGGGCCACTGTAAGATCTGTAACGGAGCTCTGCTGAAGGTATTTTACTCCTTGATCCTGCAGTCATAAACCTAGGTGGGTTTTTAAAAATTATTCTAAGAAGAATAAATCATAAAAAAAAAAAAAAAGGAAAAAGAGTAGTACTGGTGTGACCTTCAGTCATCTGAAAGTGAGTTACTGTTGTCAGGAAGAAAGAGAAGAGTTGTAGAAAAGCCTAATGAACTGCTGACTTGAGACTTGGAGAGCCAAGAAATGTAACTGGGGCTAATGATGTAGTGAGGATGGAGAGATTAGGAACCCTGAGCAGGTCTCAGGGCACATGATGTATCCAAGGAAACTGTTTATTTGCCAACCTGTGGGAAAGATATGGAAGCCATTTAAAGATTGATATTTTCTGAAATAAATTTCTACTAACAGTCTGCAGATGAAAAGACCTATTATGTTGTCATCAACCCATTAAATTTTATTCTAGGCCCTATTTGGAAGACTCTTTGAAAAGAGAAGCATCAGTTTTCCAGTAAGAAGTAAATGGAGGTAAGATGAACTTACTTACCCTCTTCCTTATTCTTCAAACAGTCGTCAAGGTCATGCAGTAAATATCTGGATGGAGGATACAACTATGACAGCATCTCAGAAAGCATTGTGCAGTGGCAGGTTATGGGTTTGGACTTGGTGTAAACAGGAGCCAGGTTTGAATTCTGGGTCTCTAACTTGCAAAATGCTCTTTAAGCTTCAGATTCCTAATGGCTGAAATGGGGTTAACAACATTGACTTCACATTATTGTGAAGAATAAATATTAGATGAGTCCATGCATTTAAAATATTAAGTAAAATGGTTCATCTAGAGAAGGTACTCGGTTAGAGGTTGCATTTCCTATTATTTATTTCATCTGTGTCACATCATGTGTTCAACAATTAGAAGTGTAACTCAGAATCTCCCAGAAAGTGAAACTGACATTTGTATTTTGATTCTAGAGATTCTGATGCACCCAAGGGTTAAGAACACTGGTCTTGGGGTCTGTTATTTGATGCAATTTCCTTGGACCTGGGCTACACCCAACTGTGGAAATATCAGCTGATAGGAAGCCCTTGGGATGTTGCAGTGGGTGATGGGGATCTCCTTAATGCCTCTCTGGATGGCTGGTGTGAAGTCATGAAGATAACAGAGAAATCTGCGTTCTCCCTCTAAAAAATGTACCGCTCAAATGCAGAATAATAATATTCTTTGAGTGTCTATTTTTAAAGATTTCCCCTAATATTTGCCTTGAAGTTATATTTTTTCTAAGACTATTTTTGCATGTTAAAAGTATGGAATGACGTATGACTTTTTTTCTAAGGGCCCTGGACCCCTATGTCATCTCTGTCTTTGTCTGTCCTAATATACAATTTTTGTTGTTGTTGTTGTTGTTGTTGTTGTTGTTGTTTGTTTGTTTGTTTTTAGATGGGGTTTCGCTCCTGTCACCCCGGCTGGAGTGCAATGACACCATCTCAGCTCACTGCAGCCTCTACCTCCTGGGTTCAGGCGATTTTCCTGCTTCAACCTCCTGAGTAGCTGGGATTACAGGCTCCCACCACCATACTCAACTAATTATTGTATTTTAAGTAGAGATGAGGTTTCTCCATATTGGCCAGGCTGGTCTTGAACTCCTGATCTCAGGCAATACACCCACCTCAGCCTCCCAGCGTACTGGGATTACAGGCATAAGCCACTGCTTGGAACTCTGAGGGTTAACCTACTAAGCTAGCTCAGCACAGTAACTGAATCTAAAATTTCTGAAAAAGAGCTGTTAGAATTTAATGCCTCTCCTCTAGCAAAGGCATCGAATATTATATAATTTATGCCTATGAGTGATGGTTTGTGTTCTCATTTACAAACTGCCAACATAACCACCCATCTCTAAACCTTTTTGTCTCTTTTACCCAGACAGAAATAAATTAAGATAGCTGCAGTGGCAGTGGGAATGGGAAGGAGAGGATGGATTCATGACCTATTTAGAGGATACAATGGACAGGAATTGACTAGAAAGGAGAGTGAGTATTGAGCTTAACATTCAAATTTCAAAATTGTGCAACTAGATGGGTAATGGTCATAATTCACTAAAATAGGACCCAGGACCAGGAGCAGATTTTTGGTTGCATTATTTCAATTTACATAAGTTATGTTAAATATGAAGTGCCAAATGGGATGATTGGTAGGTAATCGTCCACATGATTTGGGGCTAAGAAGTCAAGCCTAGGTTAATAATCGAATTACACATATCAAGAGGATTTTGCAATGTGCAATTAATTGTATATATTTAACTGCTAGAACATGTTGTTATAATATTAGACACATTGTGTGTATTGTTTTTTAATTTGTTTTAAAAAATTTAATTGTTATCGTACATAGTAGGTACATATATACTTAGGCAGTATATAAGATTTTTTGATACAGGCATATATTGTATCATAATCACATCAGGGTGAATGGGGTGTACATCTCCTCAAGCATTTATCATTTTGTCATGTTATAAATATTTAAAATTTTACTCTTTTAAAATGTACGATAAATTATTGTTGACTGTAGTCACCCTATTGTGCTATAGAGTACTAGATCTTATTTGTTTTATCTAAGTATATTTTCATACTCATCAACCATTCCCACTTTTCCCTTGCCCCAACACACCACTCTTCCCAGCCTCTGGTAACCATCATTCTACTCTCTGTTTCCTTGTGTGCATTTTAAAACATTTTTATCTCCACAAATGTGAGAACATACAAAGTTTATCTTTCTATGCCTGCCTTATTTCAATTTAGTATAATGTCTTCCAGTCCTTCCATGTTGTTGCAAATGATAATATCTTATTCTTTTCTATGGCTGAATAGTGTTCCATTGTTTATATGTACCACATTTTCTTTATCCATTCATCTGTTGATAGGCACTTAGATTGCTTGCAAACCTTGGCAACTGTGAATAGTGCTTCAATAAACATGGTAGTGCAGATACCTCTTTGTCTTACAGATTCTATTTCCTTTGGACAAACAGCCAGTAATGGGATTGCTGGTTTACAAGGGAGTTTTATCTTTAGTTTTCTGAGGAAACTTTATACTGTTTTCCATAGAGGTTGTACTAATTTACATTTCCACTAATGGTGTACAAACATTCCCTTTTTTCCACATTCTGGTCAGCATTTGTTATTGCCTATCTTTTGGATAAAAGCCATTTTAAACTGAAGTGAGATGATATCGCATTGAAGCTTTGATTTGTGTTTCTCTGATAATCAGTAATGTTGATAACCTTTCATATACCTTTGCCTTCTTTTCTCAAAAGAAGATGTGCAAATGGCAAACAGGTATATGAAAAGATCTATTCAGCTCTTTTGCCAGTCTTTCAGTTGAAATATTTGATTTTTTCCTGTAGAGTTGCTTGAGCTCCTCATATAGTCTAATTATTAATACCTTGTCAGATGGATAGTTTGCAAATATTTTCTCCCATTCTGTGGGTTATCTCTTCACTTCGTTGATTGTTTCTTTTGCTGTACAGAAGCTTTTAAACTTGTAATTCCATAAATTTTTGGTTTGGTTACCTGTGCTTTTGTGATATTACTCAAGAAATCTTTGCCCAGACCAATGTCCTGGAGAGTTTCTCCAATGTTTTCTTTTAGTAGTTTCAGAATTTGAGGTCTTAGATATAAATATTTAATCCAGTTTGATTTGATTTTAGTATATGGTGAGAGATAGGAGTCTAGTTTCATTCTTCTGTACATGGATATTCAGTTTTCCCAGCACCATTTATTGAAGAGACTGCCATTTCTCCACTGTATGTTCTTTGCACCATTGTTGAAAATGAATTCACCGTAGATGTACAGATTCATTTCTGGGTTTTCTATCATGTTCTATTGATCTTCCTGTCTGTGTTTATGCCAATACCATGTTGCTTTGATTTCTATAGCTCTGTAGTCTAATTTGAAGTCAGGTAATGAGATTTCACCAGTTTTATTATTTTTGTTCAGGATGGCTTTGGCCTTCTGGGTCTTTTGTATTTCCACATACATTTACTGATTATTTTTTCTATTTCTGTGAAAAATGTCTTTGGTATTTTAATAGCATTTCCATTGAATCTGTAGATTGCTTTGGGTAGTATGGACATTTTAACAATATCGATTTTTTCCAAACCATGAACGTGGAACGTCTTTCCATTTTTTTGTGTCCTCTTCAATTTTTTGCATCAGTGTTTTATAATTTTCATTGTAGAGATCTTTCACTTCTTTGATTAATTTATAGATAATCAATTTTATTTGTAGCTTTTGTAAATGGAATTGCTTTCTTGATTTCTTTTTCAGATTGTTTGCTATTGATATATAGCAATACTACTGATTTTTGTATGTTGATTTTGTAGCCTGTAAATGTACTGAGTTTATCAATTTTAATAATTTTTGGTGGAGTCTTTAGAATTTTCTGAGTATAAGATTATATCATCTGCAAAAAAGGATAATTTGATTTCTTCCTTTCCAATTTGGATGCCTGTTATATCTGTCTCTTGCCGGTTGCACTAGCTAGGACATTCAATACTATGTTGAAAAACAGTGATGAAAGTGAACATCCTTGTCTTGTTCCAGGTCTTAAATGGAATGCTTTTAGTTTTTCCCTGTTCAGTATGGGTCTGTCGAATATGGTTTTTATTGTGTTGAGCTGTGTTCTAACTGTGTTTGTTGTATATGGCTTTTAATGTGCTGAGGGATTTTCCTTCTATACACAGTTTTTTGAGAATTTTTATCATGAAGGGATGTTGAATTTTATCAAATTCTTTTTCACCATCAATTAAAATAATCATATAATTGCTGTTCTTTATTCTGTTGATATGTTGTATTGCATTGATTGACTTGCATATGTTGAAACATTCTTGCATAACTTGGATAAATGCCACTTGATCATGATGACAGTTATTTTTAATGTCTTCTTGAATTTGGTTTGCTATTATTGTGTTGAGAATTTTTGCATTAAATGTTTCTCAGACATATTGGCCTGTAGTTTTATTTTTTGATGTGTTTTTGTCTGGTATTGGTATATGGGTAATGCTGACCTCATAGAATGAGTTTGGAAATATTCTCTCCTCTTCTATTTTTAACAATAGTTTGAGTAGAATAGGTATTAGTTCTTTTTTTAAATGTTTGATAAAATTCATCAGTGAAGCCATGGGGTCCTGAGATTTTCTTTTCTAGGAGACGTTTTATTATGGCTTTGATCTTATTACTTATATCTATTCACGTTTTGGATTTCTTCATGGTTCAATCATGGTAGGTTGTATATGTTTAGAAATTTACACATTTTTTTCTAGATTTTTCAATGTATTGGCATGTAATTATTATAGTAGTCTCTACTGATCCTTTGACCTTATGCAGCATCATTTATAGTATCTTTTAATCTGATTTGATTTGATTAATTAATTTATTTTTAACTGTATATTTTATTGCATTTTAGATTTTGGGGTATATGTGAACATGCAAGATTGTTGCATAGGTACATACATGGCAATGTGGTTTGCTGCCTCCATC